AAACTGAAACTTAAAAGGTTAAGTGTATGCAATTAGAGCTTATACACTTGCTTCCAAACTCGGGATGCCACCAATATACAACATTCCAAATTCATCTGCATCTATACCTTCAAATTTCCTCTATGGAAAATTTACATGCTATTACAATGTGCTTTTATTTTACAAGTATTTGTCTTACAAGCAACTGATTTCAATTTTACCTTTACTGCACAGATGAGCATACATAATTCCCTATTATTGTAAAACATGTTTAAAATAGTAAAGGCATAAGGTACAAAAGAAAAAAACTGAATGATACTAATCTGTTTGGACACAATGCTTATCAAATTTTTTAAACCACACCTTTCTCCCTTTAGATAAGCCAAAAGTCATCCTTTCCAATAATCTCTCAGATGACAATTTTTAATTAATATCTGAAAGCAATGAAAGAATAAGTAAAATCAATATAGAACAGTAAAATGCTGACTTAGCCTTACTAGATCATACAAATATTTGTCTTTTTAATAGCAGTGACAAGTTTGTTATTATGCACTGGCTTACTCATATTTAATAGGTTCAGAAAGGGATTTCATACATCCATGTGGTGAGCAGAAAGCTGGTAACTCCAGATACTAACCCAACTAGATAGTTTTGAATTATTCAAAATAAAAACTTGGCATTTTAAAACAAATAAAGGTTCACTGGTCCTTAATCAGCAATTCCAAAATCCCAAGTATACAAAACATCTAACATTTTCTCTTCTGTTTATGACAAATGCAATTATTGCAGAACCTGATCTGAATTTATGAGATTTTTTTTGTAGTTCTTAATATATTTAAGCGTGAAGAGTCAAATGTTTCATTCCACATAATGTACCAAATCCTACTGGGATATTTGTATAAAACAAAGTATATTCTTCTGAATTACTTTTTAAAAACTAAAAAACTGTGAATACTGAACCATAACTAGCTCCAAGAGTTTCAAATAAGTGATTAGGGACCTGTATTATACATTTGGCAATCCTGAAAACATCTAAACAGTCCCTTTACTTTAAAGACTTTCAAAACCAAATTCAACTTCAGATTAAACTCAATATTAATAAACTGTAACCCACTGGCTTTCTAACAGGTCAGAATTGAAATAAATCAACTTTTATATTACCACTCAAAATATAACAAAATAAACACACAAAAAAACTTTTCCTCTTTTGTATATTATAATGTAAAATACTGAGTTTTGCTAAAAAGAAAATTTCCTTAGTAAAGGCACTTGTGTCCTTGCTAAATAGGTGAACAGTCACTGATGTGAAAAACATGACAGGAAGGAAGAAAAGAACTGACCAAGAAAATAGTCACATTTTATACTTGTTTAGCAGGCTTTGATCAGTAATGAAGAATCCATAGTGGAATATTTTTATAAGGAATCATGTAAAAGTTTCAAGGGAAGAATAAAAGGCTATGAAATAACTTTTTTCCCCCCTTGGTACCTGGGATTGAACTCGGGACCTTGTGCTTGCAAGGCAGGCACAGTGCCACTGAGCTAAATCCCCAGGCCTGGTATGAAATAACTCTTAAGTAGCTAATCTTATAACAGCTCAACAGAAAATAAATGTTAAGTTTTGTGCAGCTTCAGTTCTCTAAACACTTCCCACACTTTCTCAGAATGTCAAAATGTTTGTGTTTTAGGGGATGGAGATGTAGCTCAACAGCAGTATGCACAAGGCCCTGGGTTGGATCAAATGCACTGTAAAAAGTTAAGCCCCAAAATAATGTCTGGTTTGACAAAGACTGCTTCAGATTACCTTCATAAAATGGTTCTCAAATATTAGTTAGGATGAATATAGGGAGGGAAAGTAGAAACAATGATTACTAAGTGCTATGAGATGTGGGTGCCATTTCCATAATTTTTGTTCCATCTTCACAATCATGATGAGTCCAAAGGGGTAGGGGTAGTGGGAGGGGCAGGGGAAAGGAAAGAAGGGAAAGGAAAAATGATGAGAAATGGAAAAAATGGAAATAAAGTCTTTGTAAATAGGGAAGGTTGGAGGGCATGAAGGGAGGGCTAGGAATGGGGAAAAAATAAGAACCAAGATGCATTATGTAAAGGTACAATTCCCAATGAGAAATGTAATTGTGTTGTATACCTAAAATGTACCAATAAAAGAATTTAATTGAAAAAAAATAATATATTACCTTCATTATGTATAAGGAAGGGAGGATATAGAAGAGCATTTAAAAGCTTGTCCAAATTGTGATATGTAAATGAAATGAGAACTCAAGCTCAGCATTCCTAGTTACCAAAGTCCAACTTTTTCTTTTTTTTTTTTTTCTTTTTGGTATCGGGGATCTAATTTGGGTCCTTGCACTTGTGAGACAGGCGGTGGAACCACTGAGCTAAATCCCCAACCCTAGTCCAACTTTTTCTACTGTTGCTTCATAGTTAGCATTATAATAAAAAATACAAAAATTTTAAATATAAAAGCAATAACAAATTTTAGTTAAAGCTTGCCTTCCTGTAAGAACAAACTTTGCCACAAAAGATGCAACCAACAGTGATGATAAAAAGGAAAAAAAGGGGGGTTGAGGATTTAGCTCAGTGGCACCGCACCTGCCTTGCAAGCTGCAAGGTCCCGAGTTCAATTCCCAGTACCAAAAAAAAAAAAAAAATGAAGATCTTTACAGGTAAACATAGCAGGTATAAGCAAGATTACATGCTGAAACTGATGACAGTACTCAGGAAAAGGGCTGGCAGGGTAAAGATGAAGACTTACTTCTTAATTAAAATCTTTTCTAACTGTAATATCAGTACTTGGGAGGCTGAGGCAGGCAGACTGTAAGTTCAAGGCCAGCCTGAATGACGTAACAAATTTAAGGTCAGTCTGCATTACATAGCAAGACCCTGTCTCTAAAAACAAAACTTCTCTGATAAACAGAATGCTCTTCACACAAATACACATTTCTTTTGAAGTTTTGGTGTTTTGTTAGTAATGAGTCTATCTCATACTATAATCAAGGATACTAAAAGAGCTATTGAGGATTTAACCATTTAAACTTCCTTATTAAAAAGACTCAAAAGATACCATATTACTTTTTTTGTCATTACCTCATGTTGGCTTATATGAAACAAGAGAAATGAAGAAGCACTGAGAGAGTTTATTATGAAGTGGTGGTAGAAAGAAAGAAAAGAAAAAATTAACAAGAGAAGTTTCCAGAGAGTGGGACCTGATAGAATTAGCTAGGTGGCTACTTACTTTCTACAATGAAGCTATTCCCATTTTACCAAAAATAACATAAAAATTAGTAATAACTGAAGGTTTGCTATAAAATGATAAGATGTGTCAAATAGAATATGCAGTTAAATACAGTAGATCTTAGTATTCAGTGAACACTGAAGTTCCTCAAAGACTAGAAGTATATACGCCTTTATTCCCTATCACTTCTCCTTACTCTTTCCCAGAGTGTAGATTATACATAGGAAAAAAATAAAAGTGAAATATACTGATACAAAACAAACTGATTAATTTAATGAGTAACAGTGTACTTGAAAGTGGTCGATGCTACAAGGCTATTTTTCACCGTTCTTAAAATAACTTACTGAATGCCTGAAGAAACTACAGATATAAAAAGAAATAATTACTATCAAGTTCACATTAAGAATTCTTCAATGCATTTCATAATTATTATAAAAAGCTTAACATACTAATAAACATGGCCATGTCCAGTGAAAATATTTTAAGATCTTCAAATTTATGTTTGTAAAGAAAGAGGTATATATCACATGTAATCACTACCCTAGAATTAAAAAAAAGAAAACAGAAGTACCTCCTGTTGCTAGACTCACTTACCCAGAACCAGAGAAAAAATAGGTAGGGGAAGAAAGGAGGCAAATAAAACTGGAAAGTGACATCAAAAATCAAAATTTGTTACAATTTAATAGTTCTAGAAACTTTTGGGGAAGTTAAAAAAAAAAAAGTATAAATGGAATATTTCTAGTGGAGGGTCCATGTGACCTTGTTCAACTCATTTCTCTAGGTCTCAGATTCCCTATCTGTAAAATGAGAAAGTTGTACCACAATATCTCTTTCATGTACTTTTCAGTTCTTTAAGTCTTATGATTTCATGTGAGAAAAGGAAGTTAATATGCACTAAAAAGTACTCCCAAGGATTAAAGAGATATTTAATTAACTTTGCAATCAGTGTTTGGAAATATGAAAACAGGCCCTCAAGTATCCCCCAATGCCAACTTTAACAATAATAATGTAAGTGACTTACACTACCAATACCAATAGTACAAGCCTTAAGTCCTGAATTCTGGAAGCAGAAGGTCACTACACACAAGAATGAAAAATAATTCCTTCCCTTTCTGTGGATCTGTTAAACTGGAATAAAATTTGACAAAGGTAGAATTTGTTTTCAGTGTCTTTCAACCTCTCCCCAGAACTCTCTAAATCCCCAATCCTGACAGTCTATGTCTGAAGTGATGCATTTAATGAATCCCAGCTTTTGACAGCTCTAGACACAATTTCTGAATCTAGTTTTTAAAAAAACAATGTTTTGGTTTTAATTTTTCTCCAAAGAAATACAATACTGTATTTCCACTGAAGACGCTGGCTAATCAGGAAGAGGAAGATCCTTAAATGCAAAGATCATTTATAAGCAGGGCTTATCTAAACTTAAGCACCTTTACCACTTTAATCACACACACACACCCCCACACCAAAATAATTTGTATTGCCAGATTCCAAACACAATTATGTCAACAACAACCTCCCTACTGGTCATTCCTTCCACCTGCAATGCCACTTGCCATCCTCCTGGGCCTAACAGTCAACCCTCACTGATTCTGTTTACCACAGACCCAACACACCTTCCTTTATGAAACTTTCTGTATGTATAGGGCATAATTACTATTTCTACTGTCCTCTGCACTGATCTCTTTTATACAAAAGTTAGCCTTCTACAATGTTTTGTCTTTCACATTATACTGTAAGCTAATTAAGAACTGCCATTATGTCTTACAACCTCTGTACCCCTCAAAACATGTTTTATAATGTCTAATATGTGGTGAGCACTAAATAGATGCTTACACCTTTGTGAATCTGAAGAAGTCCACAAAAACTCACTAGGAGTAATAATAAATTGATGTCTACTCCACACTCACTACTTCTGAAGTCTTACCAAGACAGAAATATTAAATTAAAAATAAAAAACCAATATACCCCAAGCAAAGAAGGCATAGGGAATACTTTATCCTTTTCGCTAAAGATTTAAATGCCTGTTGGTGTCAGAATCTTACAACTTTTTTGTATTAGTACACCTAACTTTATATAACTCTTTTCTATTGTATAATTTATATGTCCATATAAGAAAAATAAAAATCAAGTAGAAAAATAGCATGTCATTATTTAAAAGTTAGAAAATGGTTCATATTTTAGGAAGGAAAAACACTCTTCAAGGACCAAGTGATTTAAGTATTTTCTTTCTTCCTTTTCTTCTTCCTCTTTTTATCTCTACTCCCAAAGTCAAAAGACAGAAAATTAAAGAGGTCAACTAGCTCTATCAAGTAAGCAATCTTTAAATTCCTACCCCAGACAAAAGAAACTGCTAATTTAACAATTTTAGATAACTGATTTATATTATATACGGTTAGAGAATATTCCTAATAGCTGTTTCAATCAACCAACAGACACAGAATAAACAAAATTACATCCATTCCGAAGCATACCTCTACAGAAGATGGCTCAATGTTTTAATAGAAGGTTTGCTGCAGACTACACTTCAAATAACCACAGGGTTACAAGTTCAAAGAAATGCTGGATGCCAAGTCATTTAAAGAAGATCAAGTAACATGAATCTACACCAACACTTTTACCTCAATGCTACACTTTCTAAATGATCTAACTGCTCTCAATTAGACTTCAACTAATTCTTTTAGGAATACAATTTAGTTAAAATATATCTTTTATTCTACTTTAACAAAAGAATAATTTTCACATATTAGTTATTTTAGAAAATATTCACAATCATACAAATAAGAAAACATACTTACAGATTGTATATCTTGTAATGGTTTTTATGCTTTGAATCCAAAAACCTTAAAACAAACAAAAATCCACCATTAACAAAAATGATTTAATACGTACTTGAAATTACATTAATACAATGAAGAACCAAAAGACAGATTCTATTTTTCTTAATCTCAAATATCATTAAGTAAAAATAAATAACCCAAACATATATTCGGCCCTCCGTGGGTTTAAAATAGCAATCATATCATTCTGAAATAATTATCACATTACATAGATTTATACAATCTGAAGTAAAACCCGAGCTTTTCATAGAATGAGTATTTTCATAAACTGCTGTCTTCAAGCTAACGTAATGTGATTGAATTTTTTTTTTTTTTTGGTACCAGGGATTGAACTTGGGTCCTTGCGCTTGCGGGGCAGGCGGCAGAACCACTGAGCTAAATCCCTGGCCCAATGTGATTGAATTTTAATAATTTCTTGAAAAAGGAGCACTAGCATTTAATTAAAGTTTGCTTTGTTCATACAGATTTGCAAGAAAGTCACAAACCATCGTGTACTCTAACCCTGAAAGTTCAACCATCACTTTCTTTCCAACCAAACCCTTTCGATATTTAAAAGATACAAACAGTAGCTATTAATTCTGAAGGAGTTTATTAAGCATTTTCACATGAATATTCTCATTCATCCCTCACAAATATCTGAGAGGTAGAGTTTATTCACATTTTACAGAGAAGGGAAGTAGGTCTCAAAGAGATTATTGGACTTGCCCAAGGTGACACAGCTAATAAATCACAGTCAAAACTGAAGAACAACAACAACAAAAAAAACTGAGGAACACCCTTTCATGACAATTATTTATGAAATTGTTAAAACAACAATTATAGGTATCACAAAAATACACACACACACCTATTTAATCTTCAACACTACAACACTATAAGGTAGGAAACAAAAGGGTCAGAGGAGTATAATTTTGAGAACAAACAGAAAAGACAGAGCCTTAAAAAAAAAAAAGAAAAATTCCAAAATGAAGGACATGAGCTTTAAAATTGAAAAGTGCATGAATATCCAGCAAAACTGATGAAAACAGGCCTAAACAGAAGCATATATATCTTTGTGAAATTTCTAAAGTGCCTCCCCCCAAAAAAGACAATCCTAGCTAGATGCTTGTAAAGAAACAGGTTTCATAAAAAGAATTTGGAATCAAAATGGCATTCCCCTTATTAATAGCAATATTAACAGCTTTTTTAAAAAAAAATGAAATCTTCTGATTTTGAGAAAAAATTGTTTTCAGCCTAGAATTCTACATGCCAAGATAGACTATAAATCATGAGTATATATAATAAAGGCATTTAAAAATAAGAACAATCTATAATAATTCTGCTTCCTATACATTCTCATGAAGTTACTGAAAGATGTGCTCCACAAAACAAGAGTGGGAACCCATGAAGGAAGATGACAGATTCCAAGAACTGGAGAATCCAAAATGCAGGAGAGGAAAAGAATCCCCAGGATGATGGAAAAAGAGTGTCTAAGTAGACTGCCACTGAGCAAGATTAAAGAACAATTAATCCAGATTAGGGAAAACTAGAAGGCTCCTGGAGAAGAGAAAATTGATAGAATACCAAATGTGCCCAAACATGGAGGTTTATATAATTAGGGGTATGTGTATGAATCAGTTAAAATTAAGAACGTAGAAAACTAAACAAGTTAAAAATAAGGAAATTAACTAGGACAGGAACATTGCAAGGAAAAATGTTACAATTTACTATATTGCTTAACTGTGAATAACATTTACATAGTTATAATCACATAAAAACTAAATATTGATATAACCAAAATTACAGTGTAACTACTGAAAAGAGAGAATGGGTAGAGAAAAAGAACCCATGAATTTGAATATACAAAATTATGTGACACAGCAGTACAAGCAGTACAAGCAGCACTTAATAATTCTGTCACTAACAGAAGTTATGAAACTATATATTATATTACCACTATTGCAGATAGGCTACGATCCATAAGGCACCTTTCATATATGCCTTGCTTTGAGTGTGGAAGGTCTTCTCTGGCAAAGCAGAAGGAAATGTAACTCAAGTGGAACAAAGGTTTCACTGAGGTAAAAAAGAAGAGATCGTAGATCTAGGTTGCTAAGGCTGCTGAAGTTTGTAGAAGGAACCAGGAAAGAGGTAATGCATAAGAAAAGGAAGAAAGAAGTTTGCATGGATTTCACCTCAGGTCTTTGACCAAAACAGAAAAGAAGTAATACCTAGGAAGAGGGAGAAAGAAATCTGCATAGATTTCACCTTAGGTCTTGACGAAAGGCTGGGGTGCATATGTGTAGGATCTGAAAGCATAATGATACACAGAGGCAGTACAATATAGGGAGACACTGGAATTCTGACACAGCCAGAGAGGAAATTATCTCACTAAACATCCCAAATATTCAGCTGAAACCTCAGAAAGGCCATATCTTAGAAGTAAGCCCCTGACAGGGGAATTATACCTGTAATTCCATTACTCAGGAGGTTGAGGCAGGAAGATCACTGTGAGTTTGAGGCCAGCCTGAACTACATAGTGGTTCAAGGCCAGCCTAAACTGCATAGTGAGATACCATTTCAAAAGATCAAAAAAAAAGTAAGGCCCTAGGACAAAAAAATTCTGAAATAAGATTACCTTAACAAAGAAAACCAAGTTTAACAATATGAGATCAACCTTTAATTTAAATGTCTACCAAAGTGAAAAAAGCAGCACCTTATAGAAAACAACTTTCTGATTCCCTGCAACATTCAACATCCAATTAAAATTATTAGAAAAACAAAGCAGGAAAAAAGAAAAAGAAAAAGCAAAAACATGATCCATAGCCAAAGGAGGGAAGAAAAAGCAGTCAAAAGAATCAGATTCCAAGATAAACCAATTTTTAGAATCAGCAGATGACTTTAAGGCAGCTATTATAAAAATGTACAAGGATAAAAAAGACAATGATTACAATGAGTAAAAAGTTCCAACAAAGAGATAAGACAATACAAACAACAAAATCTCTGGGCCTCCAAGAACACTATTTGAGAAGAAAATTCTACTAATGGTGTCAACAGAACACTGGAGATTGCAGAAGAAAGGCATGGCAGATTTTATTTTCTATAATTTCACTTAACATTTATCAAGAATCTGCCACATGACAAGCATTACCTACAGGATGGTAACACAACTCCAAGGACTGACAAAAGCAACTATGAAGGAGCTTGAGAAACCCACTGGAGAATCTACTTTTCAGGTGTCCCATTCAGAAAACAGCCTAAGGGCACTGGACAACTTGTAATGACCCTAAAATGTTTATGAATCAAAAAAAAATTAGCATCTGGAAAAGCAAAATAATTATTTGCTGCATTTTCTGTAGCTCACAATCTGGTAACCATATATTGCATGGTATAACCAACGTTTGCTCTTGGAGCCTGAATAAAACTTTTAACTGCTACTGCTATTACTAAGACATGGAATTAGTTGTTCTTTTTGAACATACAAATCACCCCAGCTTCAATTCTACTAAAACAGGCAAACTCCAAACAATCTAGTTAACTACTGCCTCCTGATCACTAATTTTTTTAATTATCAGCTATATATCTAAAATAGGGAAAGCAACCATATGGTGAAAAGGTACCTGTAGTGCTTAGCTGGATAGTACTACTTTCTCTTACATTATCTGAAGTTAAACAGAAAAGCCAAAATAACAGTTCTGTATGATTATAATGAAAAATAGTGATTCTCAGTACCCAAGAAAATCTATTGTCTCTGAAGAAGTATAAAACTGAAAGGAAAAGAAATAAACCATCCAGGAAGTAACCTGGGAAGTTGCTAAACAAATTTAGAAGACTATCAAAAACAGTATGAACAAGAAACTGCCAACAATGCTCCAAAGTAGTTGAATCATTTTGTGCTTTTATCACATCCCTACCAGCCTGTTAGCCCATGTTTTACCTATTCCAGTAAATATGAAACATGTCATTGTTTTAATCTCCATTTCCCTGATGACTGACTGTAAATCTTTTAATATACTTATTAATCATTTATGTATTTTCTTTTGTAAACTATCTATTCATATCTTTTGCCCTTTTCTTTATGGAGTTATCCTCTCACTATGAAGCTCTAAGCACATCTTTATATACTGTAGATTCATGTCCTTTGTTAAGAGATATATTGTGGCTATTTTCTCCAATGCTGTCATTTTCCTTTCATTTTCTTCTGTCTTTAAAACAGCAGTTTTTAATGTTCAATTTGTCCACTTTTTCTTACACGGTAACTTTTTATGTCTAAGAAACACAAACAAAAGATTTATTATGGCTAAAAAAAAAATCTCTAAACCAAAAATCACAGTTTTCCTCTATGTTTTTATTTTGAAGTTTTATAGCTTTAGATTATACTTTTACATTCTGGCCTATAATCTACTTCAAGTAAATTTTTATATAAAATGAGACGTACAGATCACGGTTTATTTCATTATGGTGTTCTAGCATCATTTGTTGAAAAGACTATCCTCACCCTACTGAATAGCCTCAGCAGCTCTGTCAAAAAATCTAAGTTTCCTGGTGCATTAGTTACTTTTCTTTCATTGCTGAGACAATACCTGACACTCAAAGTGAAAGGGGAAACCTTTATTGGCTTACAATTCCTAGAGGTTCAAGGCAGGGTGGCAGACGGGCAATCATTCATGGCGGTGTATGACAGCAGAAGCAACAAGAGACCTTAACAGTATCTTTCTGTCCCTTTTATCTTAGACTGCTTAGAGTGGGTAGCACTCACATCTTAATCCTAGTGCTCTCAGGCCTAGCATTGCACCATGAATCAATCCCACATTGTAGATTCAGCCACCTCCAAAAAAGCGTGAGGCTTGAAGCGGGGTGCGTAATACCTGGGATATCTATTCTGACATTGGTCTATATTATCCCACAATATTACTCATAAGTATTAAGCCAACAGAGAATATATGTTCACAAAAATCTTACTTAAGAATAAAATCACAGCTGATCTTCCATGTCTGTGGTTTTACATCTGCTGATTCAACCAATTA